AGCCATTGACAGGAGGGTGGAAACTCTTGCCTTATTGTTCCCAAGGGGGTAAAATAAATGGAGAGAATGTGGAAGGAGCATGACTATATCAACATAAGTAGTAGCTAAACCTCATTTCTCATTGACCATTCTTATGGGGTCAGATGTTATAAGGTCTGTAAAGCTACCAGAGTTGTATAGTTGCCAGTGTGACCAAGAAGAACGGGACATGCCCTAAGGAGCTGGCTCAGTGCTTAAGAACACTGTTACTCTTCTAGAAGACCTGGGTTTGGTTTTCAGCACCCACTCTATGGCTAAGAACCATTTGTAACTCCCGTTGCAGAGGACTCTGGCTTCTGTGGCCAGTAAATGTTTTTTGGTGCACAGATATACATTCTGGCTAAGCTTCCAAACACACAAGATAATATATATAAACAAAGACTAGAACATGAAGGAGCTGTTTCCTCTATGAAGATAAAATAACAGTAAGTAAAATTAAACACTAAAGTCACCGCTGTGGGGGCTCTGAGGGCAGCAGTGTGCTGTACATCTCAGGAACACTCCTTCTGACTGCAATGGCAGGAGGTGGTTTGGGAGGGAAGATGTGCCTACTACCAGGTGAGGCGAAGCAGTGAGTCTTTCAAACAACAGTTCTACTACTTGGGCTATTTTATTGTCAGTTTGGAGTCTTAGTTTCTACAACTGTAAGACGAGAAGTTCTCTGCGCTTTCTGAGAACTCATTAGAGCAATGGCCTAGATTCAGGATAAAAAACTTTTTTTTTCACATTCAAAAATGCATTCTCAATTTACGGAAGTTAGTAATCCATGTCTCCCAGGGCTCTGGAAACCAACTTAAAGAGCTTTGGTTCTATGTGCATAAGGAGCAATTGAACATAATTACTCTTCAGGGACACCCAATAAGGGTCACCTTGAGCCACTTTAACTGATGGCTTTAGAAATGTGGTCAAGAAAGTGAGCACATGTTGGGCGATTCCTGCTTAACGAATATGGAATGCACTGCACAAAGGTGAGCTAAGAGCAGCTGAGTCAAGTAGAAGAAAAGCATTTTTAAAGAAATCAGCATCTATAATAATATATTTGAACATGGAGTTTGCGGTTTATTGCGTATTTTTTGTTTATTTATTTTTTTACTTTTTTGTTTTATTTCATTTTAAAATTATTATTAATTATACTTTATTCACTTTGTATCCCCCCCCCGTAAACCTCTCCCTCCTCCCCTCTCAGTCCCACCCTCTCTCTCCCTTCTCTACTCATGCCCCTCCCCAAGTCCACTGATGGGGGAGGTCTTCCTCTGCTTCCTTCTGATCCTAGTCTATCAGGTCTCATCAGGACTGGTTGCATTGTCTCCCTCTGTGGCCTGATAAGGCTGCTCCCTCCTCAGGGGGATGTGATCAAAGAGCCAGCCACTGAGTTCGTGTCAGAGACAGTCCCTATCCTGTGGAACTACTTGGACACTGAACTGCCATGGGCTACATCTGTGCAGGGGTTCTAGGTTATCTCCATGCATAATCCTTGGTTAGAGTATCAGTCTCAGAAAAGACCCCTGTGCCCAGATTTTTTGGTTCTGATGCTGTCCTTGTGGAGCTCCTGTCCTATCCAGGTCTTACTATTTCCCACTTCTTTCCTAAGATTCCCTGCATTCTGCCCAAAGGTTGGTGTGTATTTTGAAGAAAGAGATGACACAAAAGACCATGGTAACCTGGAGTACGTTGTGAGGTTCTCTCTCCAGCAAGCAAGCAAGGAAGCAAACAAACAACAACAACAAAACTGTGACTGTGGAGGTTCGGCATCACTTGGGTAACTGAAGTGCTAGAAAGTCTAGTATCTTCCACCTGGTGTCATTTTATCACAGAGATCCGGAGCAGGATAATCGACACAAAGCCCCCGGGGTAGGAACCTTTGTATCTTTGGTGTCCCAGGTCTTGGTTGATCCTCCATGTACTACAGACAGGGAAACTTCAGAGCCCTGAAGAGAGCATGGGATCCAGATTTTTATGGGATTTCTTCCTGTGCAGCTTCTGTCTTAGTCACAGAAGTGCTTACTGCCCCCTCGTGGGCATCGTGAGACGTTGCAACTAAGTGTTTCTAAATGTGAACTTCAACTAGAAGAGACAACAAACAGAATGTTTTTAGAAACATGCAAAAGTGACATTCTCATATAAGGACTTAAGGAAAACGACAGCAAGGTGAAAAGACTGAGGTTTTTTGTTGTTGTTGTTGTTGTTGTTGAATACGTTAAATAGCATTAGCAAACAAAAATTCTCAAAGCTCTCACTACTTTAGTATTTTAGGAACGAGGGGACCATGAACTTCTACGAAAGCTTTGTTAGAAAACTCACTTTCAGTTAGCACAATAAGTGGCAATCTGAATTATTTTGATTGCATCAAGTTCCAGTCTGGGCTCGCTGCGTGTGTGGCAAGCGCTCTGCCGGGCTACGGCCCTCCCGGAACACTTTATATCTTTTGAAGTCATGCTCTGTCATCAGGCTTTGCCTCAAGCAGAAACAACAAGGAATAGTAAAGAAGCAGACATGCATGCCACTCCTCAGACTTCTTGATTTAGTTCTTAACGATATGGATCTCACAGACACGTGGCTGTGGTGGCCCCTCGAGCTTGGGGAAAGTATTGTTGGAAGGAGTAGGTAGCAGTTCTTGCTGGTCAGCCTGCAAGGGGAGTGTAAAGCTGCTGAACCCTTCTATTTCAAAGTTTGTGCTCTTTCCCCAAAGATAGCAAAAAAAAAAAAAAATCTTTTGGAGAAAAGGCATACACTGTGTTGTTTCTGGAGAGGAGGCAGTGGGAAGCCCATGAGCTTAGGGGAACAAAAGAGTTCCTGGAAAAGTGAGATGGCGTGTTAATGGAGAAGAAAAACCAGGTAAAGTTCATCCTCATGAAGCTGAAATGTATCTCTCTGGGGGAGATTTCACGGACAATCCAACAGAATTGGAGGCAATATCAAGATGAGCATTTCACAGGTACGCCTTCCAAGGCAAAGACAGACACACCTTTCCGTGTGTACACCAGGTTTCTAATCTTTAACCACCTCTCAACATAAACGCCCTTCCCTATCTCCTTCTTCTCTTTCTGCATCATTGTTACTGCTTTGGATTCATTTCTTTAGAGTTCAGACAACAAGTAAAGGTATCATGTCTGCAGTGTCAGTTTTCAAATGCAGCAGATCCTTAGCCTTTCTGACCCATCACTTGTTACAAGCTGCAGCTCCAGATGAAAACTGTGTTCCTGTAAACACGGATAGTTACATTTTACACTAACCATATTTTGACTTGTGTGGCACATGGGATATGAAAAAAGCATTGAGAGAATAGACGCATAATTAAATAACAATTTTCTGAAGAAATGGGCAAGGTTCGGGCGAGGTGTGGATTGATCACTCATAAATGTGGTAATGGCTGTCGGCTCTCTCGGGCAGCAAAGGCAAGATAACTTTGGTAGTTGCAACTTTTCCCAGAAATTTTGTGTAATAACTGAATAAAGATAACTGGAGCCAGGCGAGGTGGCACACGACTGTAATCCCAGCACTCAGGGAGGCAGAGGCAGGAGATTCTCTTTGAGTTCGAGGTCAGCCCGGTCCACAAAGTGAGTTCAGAACAGCCAAGGCTACACAGAGAAACCCTGTCGCAAAAAACCAAAACCAAAACCAAAACTAAAACCAAAACCAAAACCAAAACAAAATTAAATCCTTAAAATAAAAGCTCTGTGAGCCCAGTTCTTAAGTGGGAATGGGAAGAAGGAGAGGGTGAGGGACTTTTCTGCTCCAATAGGAAGAATTCGTATCCTTTACTGCAAGGCGCAGCCGGTCACAGAGGCTTCAGGGCCTAGGAGGGGACTTGTCAGGTCAGCCTTGAGAAGCTTCGCTGGGAACCTTGAAGTGCTGAGGAGCACCGGGAAGGTGGTGGGTGACATTGCACCCTGGACAGCCTCAGAGACTGCAACTCAGCAGGAGGCAGCGGGGGGAGGGGTCTTGAGGAGTTGGAAACCTTCTCTTTCAGGCTGTGCAGGCTGTGCCGCGGAGTGGTGGAGGACTTTTAGGGACCAACTGCCTGTGGGCTTGGTGCTCAGTTCCACCTGCCGCGGAGTGGTGGAGGACTTTTAGGGACCAACTGCCTGTGGGTTTGGTGCTCAGTTCCACCTGCTGCGAGCAGGAGTCTCGAGCCTCCACCACAGGAAGGGAAGGGCGGGTCGGGCCTCGAGGGCTGAACGTTGGCGCCCTTGCCCTTCATCTTCCAGGGGGTGATACCAGGCATCCCTCATCCCCCCCTGTAGCTGGACCTGCTGGGGAAGAAGGCAAAGCAGGAGAACTGCCACCCTCAGCCCGCGCCTGACCCAGTAGTCCAGGTACTGAATTTCATACTCCAAGGGGCCATAGACTCCAGCAAGGAAGCCAATTAAAACTGGCTTTAAAGGTCTCAGTCTGGCAGAGAGGCCCATTTTGCTATGGTTTCTAGCAGTCTTGTTGGGATGTAGCCTTAGAGGCTAGTCCTTTCTTTCACCTAAATACCTGCTACTACCCATCCTTGATGCTAACACGCATGGAATATTTATTTTGTGCTCTAGAGAACACTATAGTGATTTTGTTCCGAAACGTCAATAACCTTGGGATGAGCATATCTAAAGAGCATGTTTATAGCCAATTAACATGTTCTGCTGGTGTAGGAAAACACTACAATATGAAAAAAAAAAAGCAACAACACAGTTTGACTTTAGAATATTAAAATGCACACAGATGACAGAGAGAGAGAACGACTTTAAACAAAAGCCCCTAACATTCTTACATTGCTTTGATTTGTTGGGAGAATCAGTGCCCAGCATGCCCTCGTCTGCCTGTGACATCGACTGCACTCTAGAGGCCAGTCTGAGCGGACCAGCATTTTCTAAAAGAAATTGGACAGTACATTAAGATGTTCTTTGGGTACACAGAGAGAACAGTGTTCAGATTTCCTCATGTTTTGTATTTTTTTTTTCTCATGCAGAAATACACAAATGGCAAGCAAAAAGCGTGAAGTCCAACTACAGGTGGGTGGGTCCGTCCTCCCAGCAGGACCCTAGGGTGCAGTGAAGTTGCTGCAGCTTTACCGGGTTTTCCTTTTTTTTTTTTGGCAGGCAGTCATCAATAGTCAGAACTTGTGGGATGAGATGCTGCTGAACAGAGGTTTAACAGGTAGTGGGCTCTCTGCTGTCTGCATCCAGGGTTTGTTCCCAAGCGCCTGGGAACACCTTGCAGAACACAACTTGTTGTTTCAAAGTTGCCTTCCTGCCTTCCCTGGGCCCCTCAGCTGGGGTGGGAATGTGCCAGCCTCTCGATTCTTTGACTCTGCCTTCTCATAAGCGTCACCATTCTCCAGTGATTGATGTTTACCAAGCCTGGTGCGGACCTTGCAAAGCCATGCAACCTTTATTCAGAAAACTGAAAAACGAACTGAACGAAGATGAGATTCTTCATTTCGTCGTTGTAAGCTTTTCATTTTCAGTGTGTTTACTACTACATCAGAGCTTAAGGATTCCCCAGTACTTCAAGTACTGTCTTAATTTATGCAATCTGTCAATCTTTAAACAATGTTTGCTTGGCAGTTTTACCATATGTTTAGTTCTATTTGGTTTGAAAATTAATATGCTTCTTTTTACCTAATTCCTGTGATGCTGAGATAATTCATCAAGACTAAAATCCTCAGAAAAATATAAAAAATGGAAATATTTCTGTTGATATTACCTCATGACATGGTCAGTGTGTGTTTCTGAGTTAAGATTATGGGGAACTATTTCCTGGGTGTTATGTGGTAGATCCCTGAGTGTTTAAATATGCACAAATATTTCACTTTCAGTTATTAGTTATCAAAAGTGATAAGAAATTAAGTATTATAGCCAAATTAATTTGACTCAATTTATTGATGATTCCATTTATATCCAGTAATAATATGTAATTCAATCTATACTCAATTAACAGTTGGTTAGAATCTTATGGGCCAATATGCCTCTGTGCACAAACAGAACACTTGAGAACTATCTAGACCAACTGTATTTTCAGTTTTAATTAATTTAGATTTAAAAACTGATGGATGTTGAGATAGTTCAGTAGGTAAAGGCACTTGTTGGCAGGGCCTGATGACATGAGTTTGATCCCTGGGAGTCAAATGATGGAAGAAGAGAAAGATTCTCTCTTTTCTTGTCTGCCTGTCTGTCTGTTTCTCTTATACACACACACAAATAAATTTAAAAAATTTTAAAAACTAATATTACCATATTAATTTTTTGTGATATTTAATAATTGAAACAATTTGGCAATGTGACTCTATTTTTTATTAGAGGTCAATATTGATTAAAAATTATTTACTGAATATCCATCATTAAAATGTGCTTTAAATATAAATTTTTGTAAAATTGTGTTTTTTAATGTTTATTGTAAAAAGTGATGTGAAACACACCATTAACATTTTTTACATTGACTACATGCTGAAACTGATAATATATTTGAGTTAAGGAAAATATTTCATTGATTATTTTCACCTGTTTCTATTTTAAATGTGACTAGTAGAGAAGCTAAAATATGTTTCTGTAAGACCGATGTATACCTGAGCCATCCGGCTCTAGCTGCAGAAACGGATGGCTGGTGTGTGCACTTTTACTCCAGATCTCTAAACTATGAGGCAGATACAAAACCTCTACCCACTGCGTCTTAGGTGTAGGCTTTCACTGCCCTTCAAGGAACACTCAGGGGCAGTTTAATTCCTGGCTTCACTTGGTGGCAACCAGCCATTCCCTTCTGTAGAAACTTTCTGTTCTTCTTTTCTTTATAATTTTTAGTTTTGTGTGTTTGTCTGTGTGTGCATGTAGGTATGCATGTATGTATATATGTGTGTATGTGTGTATCTGTGTGTGTATGTCGCTGTGTATGTCTGTGTATGTATATTTTTGTGTGTGGGGGGGTGCCATTGGGGGAAATGTTTGTGTGTAGGTGCATATATGTTGAATGTAGATGTCCCAAGACAGGAACAGTCGTTTTATTTCCTCAGATGGTCAGAGGAAATGAGAGTCATACCTAAGCTTTATGAGTACATAGCTTCAGCCGAGCCCAGAGGGTTTCTATCTAATTATCCCTAGGCCTAGGCCTGGAAGCTTCTAGCCTCCTGTAATCCTGGACCTTGAAGGCTTCAGGTTCCAGCCTCCATCTGCTAACCTGGACCTGGAGTGTGCTCAGCCTCTGAGACTTAGTGCTGAATAAGCTCACCTTTTCTAGTTCTTCCTGAACGCTGACTGGCTAGTTCAACTCAGCTCTTCTGGCTTAAAATTCATCTCCAAGCTGACTGAATCAAACTGGCTTCTCTTGGCTTCGCACTGAATTGCTGTGCTTAGAAAAACTGCCTCTGAATTCCATGAACTGAGCTGCATGTACTCAACTACTCAACTGAACTACACCAAACTCTACTGAACTGTATTGTACTCCAGAACTCTGCTGTATTGTGTACTGTCTCCTCTCTCTCTCTCTCTATCTCTGTGTGTGTTGCTCTTAAGTAGCTTCCCTTTCCTGTTTGTTCTCCTGAGAGTTGGGAATATCCCATCTCTGACTGATTCTGTCAAATCTTTCTCTAGTTCATCACTTTGTCTACCCCTCAATTAGACATTATTGTTTGGGGTTAAAGGTGTGTCCTCTCTATGTTCCAGCCAGAGGGATTAAAGGTGTCTACTAAGGGTGTGTGCACAATCCAGCTGGATCACAAGGACCTAGTTCTTTGGATTTGATCCCCTGTCAGAGAAGCCCTGTTGCTGGATTAAAATTCCCCTACACAAGAGACAAAAGGTGTTGAATGCCCTGGAGCTGGATTTACATGTTGTCGGAAAGTCACTGCTTTTCTGACAAAACAAGTGAGGCAGCCTCATGCTTGCCTGCAATACAGTGTTAAAAGAGATCTTCTGTGCTGGTTGAGGGGATGTCAAGCGAAATATAGAGCCAGATGTGTCCTTTTGGGAGGAAGTGAAAGATATTCTTTCGATCAAGGACACTTGGGCTGGAATGGGCGGGGGAGAGTGGTAATGGCAGGATCAGGCAGTGAGGAAAGTGGAAATATAGAAGTGAGTTTGTCTAAGGAGAACACTTTGTAAAGGAGAATACTGAAAGGTCCAGTTGGCACCGAATAACCAAATTAGTGTGAGTTGCTAACACATGTAGTTTGATCCTTAATACAATTATCACAAACCCAGAAATGCTGAAGTCCCCAGAAAAATTGTGCATGCTTCTATATCATTTGAACATAGCATACAGAATAGTGTGGATATTGCTTTCTCATTATTGTATCAAATATTTGCAATATCGTTCAGGCTGAAGCTGACAGCATCCCGATTCTGCAGCCATTCAGAGATAAATGTGAGCCTTTGTTCCTCTTTAGTCTCGTAAGTATAGCGTTCATCATCTCATTATCGGAGCCACGTGAAGGAGCAGGTAGCACTGACAATTGCCATGGGGCTGTTTGCCGGCACTAATAATTGCACAGTGTTTGCCTTGTCTCTATTTGTCTGATAATAAATTCAATAATTTGCCTTCAGGGAGCTTGTTAAGACTATCACACAAATAAGACAGCATTTACTGGAGTGAGAAGCCATTCTCAGAGGAGCGTCAGGAGAGAATTGGTTCTAAGTATCCATGGATTTCTGCAAAAGCATCTCTCTAATCATTCTTTCTAATGCATTTGCTTTCATCTCCGTGTTTACAAATGTTTAGAAATAGTGTACAAGGCTTATTCCAGGAGTTTCTATCATTGTTTTCTGGGATGGGGGATTGATAATTTTGTCTTCATTGTACTTTAGCTGTATTTGGCAGTGGACACACAACTGTACTAGTTGGAAAACAACCTAGTGAACATTATTTTCTAAAGCCAGTCTACAGCTAAGTACTCAACCATGTGTTAGTCAAGAGTAACGACCACTTGGTCAGCCTTCTGGTTCAGGGTACTTATTTTTCAATAGTAGAAATATTTATTAATAGTACTTTTTGTATATAAGCTATTGATCTTGTTAAATAATAATCTTTCAGCTATTTCAAGAAAATGAGCTTTTGCATTAGTTGACTAAAAATAGAACTATGTTCTTGCACTATGTTGAATGTATAGAGTTTGATGTATAGTATTTTCAGCTTTGAAGAAATATGGCCTTTGTTTAGAGTGATGGTTTGAGGCCACCTCACCTATTTGTATTTTAAGGAATGAGAATAAGAAACTACACAAAGGAGAGAACTGGCTGGTTTGGAACATTCTGCCTGCAGCCTAAAAGTGGTGATTTTTTTTCTTTCAGATTTTGTAAGATTCATGAGCAAAACAGATGTCTCTCTTACTTCCCATCACTCATAGTTTAGTTGGTTTATTTTCCTTTGTTAGCTGGAATCCATTACATTTGATTAGTTTGCTTTTTCTTCCACCTCATATCTTAGAGTAAGTTCTGCTCATAACTGCACAGTTTGGCATGTGGTTTAAAGTCTGATTTTTCAAACCTAAGTTATCCTGTTCCTATCTGGGTTTCATTACCTACCTTGAAACATCACTGTTTCCTGACTTGTGTATTCTTATTTTCCTTTCTATCAAAGATTTTTTTTTTCCAACATATCTCATCCACTAAGCCCCATGTTCAAGCCTCAGGCACTTTAATCTGAACATACCCCATTAATGACAATTTATGGAGGAATAATATTCCCTAACTACAAAACTTCCTTCCAGTGGATTGTTCATTTACTTAAATATTTCCATACCAGCCTCTTCATCAGTCAGCTTTTCTTAGCTGACAAAAACTTCATTCTACAACATTTCAATGAGAATAGCTCTCCTCAAGAGAATTGTCAGGCTGGAATTGAACTGAGAATGCTTAGACCTGTAGAAAGACAGACATCTTCTCTTGCTCCCTGAAATCCTTCTCACAAAGTAGGAAAAAAACAAAAACAAACAAACAAACAAACAAACAAAAAATCTTTACAACTGGAATTTTAATCAGGAGGCTAGAGGAATGGCTCAACAGTTACATCTGCATCACTCAATGTTTCATAGTCACGATAACTTCAGCTCCAGGCTGACCCCTGAAGCACACATGCGCGCGCGTGCACACACACACACACACACACACACACACACACACACACACACACTGAAAAATAGAATAAATCTTTAAAAAAATTAGCTATGGACACATTCTGCATCCCAGCATTCTAGTGACCTTTGGCTGACGGAAGGAGGCCTTGTCCCCCCCCTCCCCAAAATGCCCAAGGCCCCTTATAGTCTGAATTTCCCTGGGTGTGAAGATCATACATCTGGGTTTAGTTCCACTTTTTCAGGGAGCCTCTTCACTTTCCATGTCTCCTATAGATCCTTTGCCCTTGTAATGTTATTCCTTCTGCATAGCTTATTTTCTTTTTTCCATTTCCCCTGTATGTTTTTTATTCATTTTTTATACCTTAAAGTAAGAAACATTTCCTGATACCAGATCGTACCTCAGCTGATCTCCCTGATCAGACATGGTCTTGGAGATATCCCCAGTGTTCTCAGTGCCTCTTAATGGCACCTACTGTAGTTGCCATTTCACATTTCTGTACTTTGGTGGGTCTTTTAGGGTTTTTTTTTTGTTTGTTTGTTTGTTTGTTATTTAATAAGGTTGTATACAAAGCCTCTCATTCCATGCCATCAGGTCTGGTTGCATGTCCATAAACTAATGTTTAGAACATATAAAGCGAAAGATAGAAAAAAGGCACGTGGCATCTCTTCTTTCTCACTGTCAATCTGAGACTACATAGTCATCTACCCGGAGAGTTCTACTTCGAGTTCCTGCCCAAATTTCCTTCAATGACGGATTATAACAGAGTCCAGATAAATCTTTTTTATCTCCTAATTGCCTTTGATCAGTGTGTTTTATTACACCCAACAGAAAGGAAATCAGAACATCGTCAGAGAAAATTAAAGGCCCTGTGTAGAATACCTCTCATTTAAAGCAAGAAAGAATCAGACAGGCATTTGTGAGCTTGTGAGCACTCCTGTAGGGTGCTAATGTGCTGTGATGGGAGTAAAGCCAGAGGTGGGCAGTAGGGTAAGGACACTGTAGGGAGATGGAGACACAACTATGACTTATTTGGAGGACAGTGTGGAACTCTAATTGCTGATGTTACCAAATCCAAGTGGCCTTTCCTATCAGTACTACTTTCAAATGCTGATCATGGTAGCTGAAAGAGGGTTGGTGGGAAACAAGTTAGTCTGGAGTAAATGTTAATGACTGACTTACTGTGAAAATGAAATATTCTTCATACTTTCTCTTGTAGAATGGTAAATTTATTGAGAAGATTCATGGTGCAAATGCACCACTTATCAACAGAAAAGTCCTTGGCTTGATAGACGAAGAGAGGAAGATTGCAGCCGGTGAACTGCCTCGTCCTCAGGTAATATTATTGGTGAATGGCTATTATATTTTAAGTGCATCATATTTATGTTTTCCTAAGGCATTTTCCCTAGCTACATGGCTTAGGCCATTTTATGTCACTGTGATATAATACTCAAGATGGTTGGCTTGTAAAGAGGATGTGTGTTGGCTCCTGGTTTCCCAGGTGTTACTCCACTTCCTTCCTGTTGCTTTAGGGCTGTAGCAAGGCGATTTGTAGTGGAACAAGTTGCTAAACTCAGGTGAGGGGAGGCCAAGAAGTGAAAAAGAAAAAGAAGAGGAAGAGATCCTTCAAGGGTGTGTCCCAAATGAACTAGAGTTCCAAGTAGGCCTTACTTTAAAATTTTCCACAACTTCCCACTACCATCCCAGACTTGACTTCAGCCTCTGAAACACTGGCCTCCGGGGCTGCTTTGTGGAAAGTGTAGCACTGTCTTTCTAGCAAGGTGCTGACATGGTCCAGCCTCCTTAGGAAACATGCTGCCAATGCAAATCAAAGGGTCCTTTGTGTTTTAACTTCTACCCATCTCCTGCTTTTGTTGACTAGAAACAAAATTTCTAGGCATTCTTTCCCTATCACACTTAAGTAACTGTTTTGCTTTCATTTCTCTTTCACAGCATGCCGAAATTCTACTAGCAGATTCCTCTGAAGAAGAAGCTGAAGAATCACACAATGATAGTGCTAGTAAGAATCAATGTAACAGAGACCAGCTGCTGTTTCTGCACATGCTCTTTCACACACGGTTGCAGCAAGGAAGAACGCCTATTTCAGTGTTAGTCACTACAGGGCTATCCTGATTTGTAATGGTTCCTAACTTGCAAGACTTGGCTCCTGCCTTTGATTTCTGCTTAAAGATTCTTCAAGGCTTACCTAGGAACATATGATCCCATCTCCTGCAACAGAACTGGGCAGCCAATTTCTAGTTCATTTTCCACCTCCAAACTCTGTGAAAATAATTTCTCCGTTGAATTCTGTGTCTTTGATTTTTATCTCAGTGGAAAATTTCATGCCTTTACTGGATTCTCTATGTGTTTGTGTGTGTTTGTCAGTTTGACTGTGTGCATGTGTGTCATGCACACTCGTGGGTGCGTGTGTTTCTTTCCTGGGGGCCAGTAAAGGCAAAGAGTTGCACCTAGTGTTCTGGAGTGATGGCTGATGTTAACTGTCATTTTGACAGAATGTGAAATCACCCATAGCAGAAGTGTCCGCGGACGTTAGTGCAGAATATTCTTTATCAGGTTATCTGAGGTGGGTAGATGGGAACCTTGTAGGTGGAATCATTCCCAGGGCTGGACCCTGAAGTGCATAAAAGGGGACCAATACCTGAGCAGCAGTAGCCGCTTGTCGGTATCTGCATCTCTCCTGTGAATGTGATACGAGCATCTGGCCACCTCTACCTCCCTACCATGGGGATCTTGATCTATGAGCCAGAATAAACACATTCTGCTGAAAGTCCCTTTTGTCAGGTATTTTATCATAGGAACAGGGAAGGTAACTCGGACACCTTGTGCAGGAGGTCTGTGGTAAGAGAGCACTTCTTACATGGTGGGTCTGTTGGTTTCTGGTTTGTGTTTGCACAGTGCATAGCTGAAGCCTCACTGACTTAGTCACACCGTGGGTGTGCCCCTAGTGTGTGGGAATGGTATCAGAGCTGCATGCCTGTATACTCATACAGTGCCCCCTTAAAAGCCCAGACATTGTCAATTCATATTTCTATTTCCAGACTTCTCTTGATTCTGGTTCTAAGCTAAAAAAAAAAATTAACTTTTGGTTTTTCTCTTAGTGGATGCTTACAGTATGGCTATTTTCAAACCTGATACTGTACTCAGAAGAAAACATATAGAAATTAAGGAAAAAGTAAGTAATTCTTATCAAAAGTTGTTTAAATTCATTGCAATATAATAGGACTATTCGGTAACTCATCTGAACCTATCAGTGTTTCTACCACGTGGCTAGCTCTTTGCCTGTTTGCTCTGCTCCGTCTGTTCCCTTCCACACCTCCTTCAAATTTCTCACATCTGCTTGCTTTCCCTGTATCACTCTATCTGCCCAGAACGTCCACTCCATAAGACTGTTGAAGCTATTCACCGTCAGATCTTCATTATGACCGATCAGCAGCAAGATAACCTGATATTCTCTAGATTGCATTTAGGCAGGTGAAGAAGGGCAGATATTTTCAAAAGTGAAAACACGGTGATGGGTTATAGAAATAACAATGCCAAAATCCTGCGAGCACTTGGCTCTCTGCAGGTACAGAATGAACAACTTAAAATATGTAGACACACTTTCATACAAAGTGAAGAAAAGGTACCCCAACAATAAGAATGTTTTCTGATTTTTGGAGGGCAGGTGTATTGTAGCAACACGACTGATTTTTTTATGTTGATGTTGTACACAGCTACTTTGCTCAAGTTTATCAGCTCTTAATTTTCTGGTAGAATCTGTAAGATTGTTTAGGAATGGGATCCTGTCATTTCTAGATGAGAAATGACATGGCTTCCTTCCTATTTGTGTTCCTGTTGTTTCTTTTTTGTGTCTTCTTGCTCTATCTAAGATTTTTTTTAGCTATATATAGCTAACAGTACATTGAATAAGGGTAAACAGAAGGGATACTCCTGTGTCGCTCCGGAGTCTAGAGGAGATGCTCTCTTTCTTTCTGTGGCTAGCATAGTGCTGGCTATAATCCTTGTTATGTTTGGATGTGCTCCTTCAACCTCTACTTTCTTCAGGAAATTTCCTTTTTTCTTTCCCCCCCCCCCTTTTTTTTTTTTTTTTTTTACAATTTGTTCATTATATGTGCTGACTGAAGCTCCCCTCCTTAACTCCTCCCAGTCTCACCCTCCTTCCCTCTTTTCCTCCATCCCCTTACCCTAGTTCACTGAAAGCGGGAGTTCTTCTCCTCTGCCATCTGCCCACAGGTTATCAAGTCTCATCAGGACTGTCTGGATCCCCTTCCTCTGTGGCCTGGTAAGGCCGCATTGCCAGGGGCAAGTGATAAAAGAGCAACAGACTAAATTCATGACAGAGGCAGCCCCTGATCCCCGATCCCTTTATTCGGATAACCACATGGAGACTGAGCTGCCAATTGGCTCTATCAGAGCAGGGGGTCTAGGTCCTCTCTATGCATGGTCCTTGGTTGGTGCAGGATCTGCAGGCTCCCCAGAGCTCAGGGTTTTTTTTTTTGTTGTTGTTGTTGTTTGTTTGTTTGTTTTTGTTTTTTAGCTCTGTTGGTCTCATTGTGGGGCTCCTGTCCCCTCGTGTCCTTCTATTCCCCCCTTCTTCCATAAGACTCCATGCATTCTGCCCAAAGTTTGGCTGTGTGTCTCAGCATCTGTTTTGATCCCCTGTTGAGGACCCTATATAGTAGGCTCCTATCCTGTTCCATCTCTTTTACCACTTCTAGTGTCTATCCTGTTTGCCATTCTGAATGAGATTTAAGCATCCTCCCTAGGGTCTTCCTTGTTGTTTAGCTTCTTTAGGTCTGCACATTTTAGTATGTCTATTCTATATTATACAGCTAATATCTGCTTATAAGTGAATGTATACCATGTGTGTCTTTCTGTTTCTGGGTTACATCACTCAGGATGATCTTTACTAGTTCTATCCATTTGCTTGCAAATTTCATGATTTCCTTGTTTTAAATTGCTGAGTAGTATTCCATTGTGTAAATATGCCACAATTTCTATATCCTTTCCTACACTGAGAGGCATCTAGGTTGTTTCCAGGTTCTGGCTATTACACATAAAGCTACTATGAACATGGTTGAGCAAATGTCCTTGTTGAATGGTGGGGCATCTTTTGGCTATATGCCCAAGAGTGGGAGAGCTGGATTTTTGTGGTAGTTGCTCCAATATTGCTCCAATATTCTGAGATAGTAACAGACTGATTTCCAAAGTAGTTCTACAAGTTTGCACCCCCACCAGCAATGGAAGGGGGTTCTCCTTTCTCCACATCCTCTCCAGCATGTGTTGTCACTTGAGTTTTTTTCATCTTAGTCATTCTGATTGGTGTAAGATGGAATCTCAGAGTCATTTTGATTTTCATTCCCTGATGACTAAGAATGTTGAACATTTCTGTAAGTGTTTCTCCATCATTTTATATTCCTCTATTTAGAATTCTCTGCTTAGCTCTGGCCCCATTTTTTTAATTGGATTATTTGGTTTGTTGGTATCTATTTTCTTGTAAAGGACACTTGTCAACAAAACAAAATGGCAGCCTACAGTATGGAAAAATATCTTCACTAATCCTACATCCGACAGAAGGCTAATATCCAGAATATATTAAAAACTCAAGAAATTAGACATCAACAAACCAAATAATACAATTAAAAGATATGGATTTTTCTTACAAAATGATATTCAGCTTTGTTGAAACCTTCTCTACTCTGATTGAAATGATCATGTCTGTCTTTTATTCTGATTGTCAGCTGAATTATGCCTATTGATTTGTGTCTATAGAATAAACTTTGTATACTGCAGTGAAATTAACCTGGTCATGATGTATGATCTTTTGGTTTGCAAGACTAGGAATGAGAATTTTTGTGATTATGTTCACTGTGGAGATTGATATGTAGGTTTGCTTTGTTGGGTCCTAATCCTGCTATGGTATCAGAGAGATTTACTAGTAATATTCCTTCCATTTCTATTGTATGGAAAGTTTGAGGAACATTAGTATTTCCTCTTTAAAGGTTTGGCAAATTTCAACAGTGAATTCATCTGGACTTGAACCTGTATTTTTGAGAGGTTCTTGTATTGCTGCTCCAATCGCACTGACTTATAGACACATCTAAGTTATTTATTGAATAACTTAATTGAATTTTTGCAGATAATACATATCTAGAAAGTTATTCATTTCGTCTAGATTTTCTATTTTGAAATATAAAATTTCAAAGTTACTAATGCTTCTCTGTATTTCAGTGGAATCTGTATTAAATTCCCCTTGCCATCTCTTATTTACTAATTTAGGTCTTCTTTCTCTTAGTTATTTTAAAAAAAATGGTTTTCCATCTTATTTTATAAAAGATTTGAGTCTTTGTTTGATTGATTCTATGTATTGTTGATTTAGTTTCCAATTTAATATGTTCTATCCTGGTCCTTATTATTTATTACTATCTCTTAGATTGTGTTTGAGGTCCAGCTGTGAGTTCTTTCCTTGAGAATTCTCAGATACTTCTTTTTTTTCCTTGGCCAGATACTTGTTATGTAAGTACTCATAGCTATAAAGTTTACTCCCACACCTGTCCTAGCTATATCCCATAGGTGTTGGTACCTTTGCTCTCATTGTCATTTTTTTCCAGAAACTTTTTATATTTCCTGTTTGGTTGTTTCAATGATTCACTAACACTCAAGGCTGTATTGTTTAGTATCAATGAATGTAAATACTTCTCATAGTTTTCTTACTATGGGTTTTTAGTTTGATGGGACCATAATCTGATAAAATACAGAGAATTGTCTTTTTTTTATTTTTGATAAGTTTTGGTTTATGGCCTAAAGTATTGTTTATATAGATACAGGTCCATGGGCTACTGAGAATAATGTGTTTTGTATATGTAGGATGGAATATTCTGTATCTCTCCAATAGATATATGTTCACTTTAAGGTTACACTGTTGATTTTCAGTTTGCATGACAAATCTAAAATTAAAAGTATGGCACTGAAATCACCTGTTTCATGTTCAAACTGACCTTTGAACTCTGTAATATTTGTGGCTGAATATTTGGTACATGTATGTTTATTGTTGGCATATATTCCTGCGGAATCATTCCCATATAATGCCTTTAAGAAATCTATTCTGTAACAGTACCACAATTTCTGTCTCCATTCCTCCACTGAGGGACATCTGGGTTGCTTCCAGGTTCTGGCTATTACGAATAAAACTGCTACAAATGTGGTTGAACGAATGTCCTTGTTTTGTACTTGAGCATCTTTTGGATATGTGCCTGGGAGTGGTATAGCTGGATCTTGAGGAAACACTATTCCTAATTGTCTGAGAAAGTGTCAGATTGATTTCCAAAGTGGTTGTACAAGTTTACATTCCCACCAGCAATGGAGGAGGGTTCCCCTTTCTCCACAACCTCTCCAGCATGTGTTGTCACATGAGTTTTTGATCTTAGCCATTCTGATGGCTGTAAGGTGAAATTTCAGGGTGATTTTGATTTGCATCTCTTTGATGGCTAAGTATATTAAGCATCTCTTTAACTGTTTCTCTGCCATTCTTTATTTCTCTACAGAGAGTTCTCTGTTTAGCTCTGTACCCCATTTTTAATTGGATTTCTTGATTTATTGCTTTTTAAATTCTTTAGTTCTTTATATATTTTGAATATCAGCCCTCTGTCAGATGTAGGGTTGGTGAAGATCCTTTCCTAGTCTGTAGACTGTCATTTTGTTCTGATGACAGTGTCTTTTGCTTTACAGAAGCTTCTCAGTTTCACGAGGTCTCATTTATTGATTGCTGATCTTAGAGCCTGTGCTGTTGGTGTTCTGTTCAGGAAGTTGTCTCCTGTGCCAATGAATTCTAGGCTCTTCCCCATTTTTTCTTCTAACAGATTTAGTGTATCTGTTTTTATGTTGAGGTCTTTGATCAACTTGGACTTTAGTTTTGTGCTGGGTAATGAATATGGATCTATTTGCATTTTTCTACATGTAGACATCCAGTTGGACTAGCACCATTTGTTGAAGATGCTGTCTTTTTTTCATTGAATGGCTTTGGCTTCTTTGTCAAAAATCAAGTATTCATAGGTGTGTGGGTTTATTTCTGGGTCTTTTATTCGGTTCCATTCATCCTCTACTTTTACACAATGGAATACTACTCAGCAATTAAAAACAAGGAAATCATGAATTTTGCAGGCAAGTGGTGGGATCTAGAAAAGATCATCCTGAGTAGAGGTATCCCAGAAAGAGAAAGACACACATGGTATATACTCACTTATAAGTGGATACTAAACCTATAAGATAGGATAAACATACTGAAATCTATACACCTAAAGAAGATAAACAAGAAAGAAGACCTGGGGTAAGATGATCAGTCCCCACTTAGAAAGACAAATGGGATGGATATTGGATGTAGGGGAAAACAAGTAACAGGACAGGAGCCTACCACAGACGACCTCTGAAAGACTCTACCTAGCAGTGTAACAAAGCAGATACTAAGACTCATAACCAAACTTTTGACAGAGTGCAGGAAATCATATGAAAGAAGGAGGAGTTATTGTGACCTTGAGAGGACAGGAGCTCTACAAGGACCAAATATATCTGAGCACAGAGGTCTTTTATGAGACTGTTTCTTCAACCAAGGACCATGTATGGATATAACCTAGAACCTCTGCTCAGATGTAGCCCATGGTAGCTCATTATCCAAGTGGTTACCCTAGTAAGGAGAACAGGGACTATTTTTGACATGAACTCAATGGCTGGCTCTTTGACACCCCCCCTCCCCAAGGGAGGAGCAGCCTAGCTAGGCCACAGAGGAGGACTTTGCAGCCAGTCCTGAAGGTACCTGATAAGCTAGGGTCAGATGAAAGGGGGGGAGGTCCTCCCTAATTAGTGGACTTGGAAAGAGGCAGGGAGGAAATGAGGGAGAGTGGAAGTGATTGGGAGGGAATGAGGGAGTAGGCTAGAGCTGGGATACAAAGTTAATAAACTGTAACTGATATTAAAAAAATAAAAATTTAATTAAAAAAAGACACACACACAAATCTATTCTGACTAATTTTGGTTGGATATATACTTTATCAGATATCAGGATTACTAGGTCAAATTGTTTTCAGTTTCTGCTTGCTTGATAGATTGTTTCTCATCATATGATCTCAGTCTACAGATGTATTTACTGGTAAGGTGTGTTTCCTGGAGATAGTATATTATGGAATCTAGTGTTTCAATTGAGTTAGCCTTCAAAAATAGAAACATGGGAAAAAAAGAAGCTAAAATAATTTTGAACATAATTAAGAAGTACTTTTAAATTTCTATCTCGTGACTAATTTAGAAAGTTATATACATACATATCATATATGTGTACATATATTACATATGTATGTATATATCAACTTTCTGAATTATTTATAAGATATATATATATATATATATATATATATATACACACACTTATGCAAATACATAAGTTGGATTTCCTTGGAATCATGTTTTTATTTTCCTCACCCTTCTGTGTTAGCATTGATTAAAGTCCACTCTAATAAAAATATTTTGAAATGACTGATGGAAGTTTTAAAAATATGGATATCTAGGGAGTATCAAGGGAAACCTTTATACATTTCTGAGCCACTTCAAACCCTGTGGATTTATTGTGGCCTTTACCTGAAAATGTGAAAATCCAGGTAGTTTAGTTAGTTCTGCATTAAACAGCTCTAATTTGTTTTAAATGTTTTCCTCTATCATGTTTGCTTCTGACATCATCTGAATTGAAGATTGCCAGAGAAGGATATCTCATTGAAGCACAGGAAAATATGTTTCTCCCTGAAGATCTAGTGAGAGTATTCTATTCTCATATGGCAGACCAGGTAAGAAGGCTTTTAAAAAGTCACTGTGTACTCATTTACATCTCTACGCACAAACACACATGTACCTATCTATTCAACGACAGTGATTGCTGTAAGTTTAGATTTTCATTAACTTCAAAATTAATAATTCTAGCCAACTGAATAAACTTTTGGTGTCTTGATGATGTCTACATCTTGGTGATGCCCAAGATGGCATCTCTGGTAACATCTCCAATGTAAACAGTAGCACCCAGGCAAGACTGGATGGTTTGTTTTGTTGAAGATTTTTTTTTCTGCTATGCTTTCTGGAAGAGAATGATAGCCAGTCTTCTCCTATCAATTTTCAGCCTTGACGAAAGTACTGCTTTCCATCTGCTACATAGGGATCTGTAACTCACTTATTCGCTGAGTCATTTTCTTAAAAGCTATACTCCAGCAAGTTTTGTTCTTCGTGGAGAAACATGCTAAAAACAGTATTTATAAAAAAAAAAAAATTAAAGTGGAGGTGTGACTTGGAGATTAGGAGACCTATCTTCTAAAAACACTCTGCCTATGTTATGGGCAGTAACCATGTGTGGCTATTTGAATTTAAATTCATTCAAACCGAATAACATCTAAAAATTGGAGTTTTATTGACACTAGCCACATTTCAGGTGATTATGGAGCCATGTTCAGCAATATTGATAGAGAGTGCCGAGTATGTTACCATATGCAAAGTTCTACTAGTCAGCCCCTTTATAATTGATCTACCACTCTACTTATCACTCTTGGTCCCAATTTCTGCATATGAGAAAAAAAAAAAAGAATTTGGCCACACATGTCATCAATATGTGTGTACTTTTATGAAAACCCACCTTAGGAATGTCATCCAGAAGCTGTTGTGTTTGTCAGATTTCTGTCACTGTCAACTGAAAAGGAGGAAAGTTTCATTTTGGCTTATGAATTCAGCCATTTCATTTCACAGTGGCCTGGACCCATAACTTTGGTGTCTGTGTTGAGGCAGAGCGTCATACTCAGGAGATCACGGTGAACTAAAGCTGTTAGCTTTGTGAAGCCAGGGAACAAAAGTGGTAGAGAGGAGATGTTAGGGTCCTGATAACTGCTTCAAGGAAATACCCAGGACTGTACAGCCTTAAATATTTCATTACTTTCAATAGCAATGTTGGTGTCCAAGCCTTTATCACATGCCACTGGAGGACATTTTGGATCTAACTGTGAGAATTACTGAATTGGAAAGTTCGGGATTGAACACCAAAAGATCTCTCTGTATCTGTCTTTGTCTCTGTCTTTGTATCGATCTGTCTGTCTGTCTGTCTCTCTCTCTCTCTCTCTGTGTGTGTATCATGTGTGTTAGTTCTTTGGGGGATTTTCTATGGCATATTCAATCATTCTTTCTGCCTTTCCCATAACTCCTTCCAAAATTTTCCCCACCCAACTGTGTCTTATTTAAAAAGACAAGACAAAAAACAAAAAAAATCTAAAACAAAATCAAATTTGATTGTGACACCATGCATAAGACTTGCTCAGGCTGAAGCCAGTCAAAATTCCAGCATGGAAAGGGAAGGAGGGCACAAAGTCCCATTTTTAGCTAAGGACCTATTAGCAATGATAGCTGATGGGAGAGTTTTCTTTAAGTTTGTGGCCCCTGGACCATGCTCTAATGCAAGGCCTCACTCACACCGGAGTATGTGGGCAGCTGAAGACGGTCTTTTAAGAAGCCTTTCAGATAAATCAGCAACCCCCTGTTGTTGCGACATAGTTGTGCTACACTTTCCTAAAAACCATCTTCTTCTAGTTGTAAATGTCTGCTGTGCCAACATGTTCCTGCAAACAGGTTTGTAAGGACAGCATAACATCGCTAGTGACCACGGAAAGAAAAGATTTCACTTTTTTTTTTTTTTTTTTAAACAGTGGCTGCATTTTAATACAACTGCGTCAGGAGACTGAGGGAAAGTTTCTCGTTTTCTTTTGTAGCCCGACTTTGAAGAGTTTGTGTTTTCTGTAATAAACGGCCTAAGCTGTGTGCTCATTATATCTCAAGGAGAAGAAGAACACCTTACCCAGGAGGAAAACCAATCTCAGGCTGACACAGAAGAAGAACCGCTTGAGAACACTGAAGAGCCTCACCCTAGGGTCACACCTGAAGTGTCAAAAAAGAAACGGGACAGGTAGGTAATAAATTATAATAATAAGTTATCATTTATAATGTGTCACCAGGCCATGGAGCACAATGCCCAAATGCCTCCAAACCTAATGTTTTTACATGGATACTACAAGTTTACCTTTTAGTCAGCCTATTATATTATGTTCAGAGAATGGGGAGTTCCCTTGAATGTTTATGACAAGAAAATTATAAAGAGAATAACTTTCCCTGGTTGCCTTTATAAGCCTGGCATACCATCTGGCCTCATTGTTTCAGGCTTAGGAGAATGGGTCAACCCTGCCCATTCTCCAACATCAGCCATTTTCTTCCATCTTCTAGGCTCTCTGTTTCATTTAAGACAGTTACTCTTATAAAATTTCTGGTGACAAAAATTCATATAATTAGGTAATACATTTTTAAATATTCCAAAATGAGCAAGCAGTTTTCAAAACATTGGCTTTGTGTATTGCACATCATGACTTTTATTCTGCTAAAGACTAAGGGCCAGAGTTTGACACAACAGTTATGCAGGACATGCCTGAAGGAGTTTGGTGAGTAAGAAGTTATTTTTATATGTGAGTATGAAGGCTTTGTGGCTAGGTCTGCTACTTCTCTGTGTACCAGTTCTGATACAAATTCTGTCTGGGACTCCCAAGAGGTTTTCTTCTTTCCTTATAAACTGTGGGGTTTTCTTGTGGTTTCCAGTCACTGCATATTTTTTTTAGGTAGCAGGCAATTTTAGAATTTGTTAAGCTATTGTATTTCTGGGTATGGAACTCAGAGCCTTCTGCATGCTACCCAAATGTTCTACTCTTGAGCAAGGTTATGCTACCATTTACTTTCAAGTTTTAAGGAGGATAGAGTAATGCAAAAGGGGATTCAGTGGATACCAATGGGCTTTGGAAACAGTGGGAATTACTTTCAAAGAGACAATGTGAGGGCAGAAAGAAGCATTGTATTGTGTTATTACATTCTAAGTCATTCATTAACACAAAAAATTTTAGGCATTTCTCTTACACCTTATCTCATAATAATCTTAGATTATATTTTGGATTTCAACAGTTTGCAAGAATTTTTGGAACGTCAACATATATCTGAGTTTTGCGATATTTTGGATGATGTGCCTAAGGTTTCCAAGTTCATCGATATCTTATTCCCTAACTTTAAAACCATGAAAAGCATGCATGTACAAAAGACTCTGGCACTGATGTATCCAGAAGTCTATGAAGAAAGGAAAGGTAGGAAGTAAAGCTCAGAATAAGAACTTGGTAGGTACAACTTGAATATTGATTTATCACTTTCACAATAATAATGGGCAGAACATGTTTAGCTGAAGAACATACAAAGCATTTACTAACCTATGGCTTTGCAAGAGTCTGTCTCAGCATTGTCAATGTCTTAAAGGATACAAGGAACCAGGATAACTATTTCATGTCTGCAGTGCCTCGGCACAGAGCTGTGGGAGAGCCTGATTACTAATGTGGCATGAATAAGATAATGTACCTACTGTATTTTGTTTATAAAAATTAGAAGAACAAGATGAGAAGGCACACATAGAATACCTGGTGTTCTCTTAGTGTTAGTTTTTATTTGCTTTTGTTTTTTTTCCAATACTGGACACAGTGCCCAGGCTCACATACTTGTAACTAAGTATACTGATACTGAACTACAGCCCCATCCGTAATTACTGGTCATTTTAAACCCCACCCCATCATCACACAGCAGAACAAATACTTCATAGTGAGAATGGAGGTTCTATATAACTTCATTCATTCATCCATCCATCCATCCATCCATCCATCCATCCATCCATCCATTCATCCATCCAACTGTCCATCTGAAAACAACCTTGACATTTGTGTAGGAGCTTTGACACAGGATCAAGGCTAGCATTATAGAACACTGTATGGTAACCCTGCGTCTATTTGTATTGGGGCCAGGTAATTTTCTTTTGGGGGGGTGTGGGTTGGTCACTCATCACATGCTACATTGCCAAATTCCTGTCATCACTCTTAGCTTCTAGATATCAGGAGTTTCCCTCCCAAGCTAAACTGTAACAACCACAAATGTCTCCAGTCAGCAATTGTCAAGCATGTTGAACAGGACTGAGAATCACTGACTGTGTTATGTGTTGTCTGCCTTGGGAGATATGGAAACTCCCACTTTCTATTGACATGCCTTGATTTCTTTTGATTTCTTTTCCTCGGACAAGCTGATGTGTTTGTGTGATGCTGACTGGAAACTGATGTTGTGCAGGAATAATGACACACCATGCCTCAAAACAAAAGGTTCAGTATCTGTAACATTAGGTGTAATGTTCTCTACTGATGCTCTTTCTTAGGTTAAGGAAATTTCCACATATTACATGGCTTGAGGTGAATATTCTTTTTGTTGTTGTTAATGCTTGTATTTCTATGTTATTTTGCAATGCTGGGGACTGAGTTTATCATATTGTAAATGAGTGTTGTTATTTTGTAATTTATTCTTTGTCTACCTCAGTTATGTATTTTTTTTCTGTATTCTATACTATGGTGGACTACTTTAATTTTTGGATCAGCCTGGCACACCTTGCTTGCTTGTATATTCTTGAGAACTGTGTCTGTAAATATGGGGAATGTTGGTGTTTCCTTTTATGATAATCTGGTCTGGGTGTCAAGAGCAGCACTCACAAAATGAGAACAAAAAGTATTTCCTCCCTTGTTTTCTAGAAGGTATAGAAGGTCAATCACTTGACGTTATCTTTTTTAACTTTTCTCACTTTAAAAATTTTATTTATCAGTTTATTCACTTTATATCTCTGCCGTAGCCCCCTCCTTCATCCCCTCTTAATCCCACCCCCTTCCCTTATCTCCTCCAGTGCCCTTCCCAAGTCCACTGATAGAGGAGTTGGTTCTTCTCCCCTCTGACCCTAGCCTATCAAGTCTCATCAGGACTGGCTGCATTGTCTTCCTCTGTGGCCTGGTAAGGCTGCTCCCCCATCTGGGGGAGGTGATCAAAGAGCCAGCCACTGAGTTCATGTCAGAGACAGCAGAGACAGTTCCTGTTCCCATTCCCAGGGAACCTATTACTAGGGAACTCACTTGGACACTGAGCTGCCTTAGGCTACATCTGTGCAGTGGTTCTAGGGGTTCAAAATTACCTCCATGTACGGTCCTTGGTTGGAGTATCAGTCTGAGACCTCTGTGTCCAGAATTTTTTTGTTTTGTTGCTCTCCTTGTGGAGATCCTGACCCCTCCAGGTTTTTCTATCTCCTCTTTCTTTCATAAGATTCCCTGCATTCTGCCCAAAGTTTGGCTATGATTCTCAGCATCTGCTTTAATACCCTACTGGGTGGAGTCTTTCAAAGGCTCTCTGTGGTAGGCTCCTGTCCTGTTCCCTGTTTTCTCCCTCTTCCAATGTCCGTCCCGTTTGCCTTTCTGAATGAGGATTGATCATCTTACTCCTTCTTGCTTAGCTTCTTTAGGTGTGCAGATTTTAGTATGTTTATCCTATATTATATGTCTAATATCCACTTACAACTGATTATATACAATAGGTGTCTTTCTGCTTCTGGAATACTTCACTCAGAATGATCTTTTCTATTTCCTACCATTTGCTTGCAAAGTTCATGATTTCTTTGTTTTTAATTGCGGAGTATTTTTCCAATGTGTAAATGTACCACAATTTCTTCATTTGTTCCTCAATTGAGGGACACCTGGGTTGTTTCCAGATTCTTCCTATAACCAATAAAGCTGCTACGAACATGGTTGAGCAATTGTCCTTGTTGTATGCTTCAGCATAGTTTGGATACATGTCTAGGAGAGCTAAAGCTGGATCGTGAGGACGCACTATTCCTAATTGTCCGAGAAATCGCCAGATTGATTTCCAAAGTGGTTGCACAAGTTTACATTCCCACTTTCTAATTGCTTTCTGAGATTTGTTAGTTAAGTTACCTATGCCTGGAGTTGTCTGTTTTGGAGATTTGATTGGTTTTTATATTTCATCCTTTTGGATCTTTTATCATGACCATGTTCTTTTTTAATTAATAGACTTTGTGGTTTAGAACATTTTTATCAAACAAGTCACCTAGCTCGCGGCTTCCATGTACAGAACTCCTGGAAGCTCTGCTTGTTGTAATCAAATTGTATTATTATTATACGTGTACTTAAAATATGATATATTGTAGTCAACGCTGCAATATTTTTGCTATACTTGAACTAAAGTTCATAGTTTGTATTAAGGTTCACTCTTGGTTTTTGAACATCCCAAGTGTTGAGACAAATGAATGGCATCATTTATTCTTTTGCAGATTAGGTCAGCATGGGGTCTCATCCCTGAAAGTGCCATGCCTTTCTTTTCAGTTTAGGCCCCTACCAGATTTGAGCACTCTTCTGTCTTATGTGTTCATCTTTCCAGAATGATGCCATTGAAACCACACAGCACAAAGCCCCTTTCAGACTGAATTCTTCCACTTATCATTATCCATCAGGATTCACAGATCATTGCTTTTTTTTTTTTAATTGCTGAATAATATTCAGTTGTAAGAATACAATGACATTCAACAGGTGATTTTTTTAAAGGATGTTTTGCCCAGTTTCAGTTTCTTTCACTTTCATGAATGAACTGCCATAGACACTCATACAGAGGTTCCTGTGTTGACGTAAGCTTCCAATTTAACTAGGTTATTAGCTGGGAGCATGATTCCTGGATCATGTGTAAAGTTGTAATTAATGGTGCAAGAAACTTCCGGAGCGCATTTCAAGGTAGTGATACTATTTTTTATTCTGCCGTCAACAAATAAGAATTCTTCTTGGTCTGCATCCCTGTCAACCTCTTTACTGTCTGTTTTCATCTGAACTAGTAGATGTACAACGATACCTGTTGCTGCCCTCATCTGCGGTTCCCAACCATGTGTATGTGGCTCGATATTTTCAAAATTTTATTTATTTTATTAATTGCAGTTTATTCACTTTGTATCCTAACTGTAGCCCCCTCCCTCATTCCCTCCTAATCCCACTCTCACTCCCCCATTTCCTCCCATGCCCCTCCCCAAGTCCACTGATAGCAGAGGTCCTCCTCCCCTTCCCTCTGACCCTACCCTATCAGGTCTCATCAGAACTGGCTGCATTGTCTTCCTCGGTGGCCTGGTAAGACTGCTAAAGTATGCTGTGTGGTTTCACTGGCATCATTCTGGAAAGATGAACACAAAAGACAGAAAAGTACTCAAATCTGGTAGGGGCCTAAACTGTCAATAATAAATCTGGTGACCTAGAGCTTAGGCAGGAAATAGGAGGTAGGGCATCCAGCAGGCAGAAAGGATTTTGGAACATAGTCAGGCACACATGATTCAGTGGGCAAGATGTAAAGAGGATAGATGCTTAGTACCTGAGCCCAGGTAACCATCCGCGTGGCAGAATTCAAATTAGTATAAATGAGTTATTTTAAGTTATAAGCTAGTCTAAGAAGGGTCTAGCTATATGGCCAAAGTATTTATATAAAATTTAATGAGTCTCATGAGTCATTATTCTGGGAGCTTGGGGAAGGGAGGAAAAACTTCTTTCTACATAATTTTGTCCAATGTGGGGCTGGTGGTTTTACCTCCTGTCCCTAAACTCCCAAAGTAAAGATTCATGAGACTGAAAATATATTTGCAAATACCTAGACCATATACCTAAGCTCTTCTCTGACTAGCTCATAACTTAAAGCAACCCATCTATTTTAATCTACATTCTGCCATTTAACTAGATACCTGTGCTTAGGCACCATGTGTCTGTGTCCTCCTCACATCTTCCTGCAAATATTCATGACTAGCTTTCTCCCAGAATCCTTTTTACCTAGCAATGTCCCACCTCCTATTTCCTGACCTATGTTATAGACTATCAAATTTACTATTGACAGCTATTTCATCCATACATTTCTTCTACACTTTTGGATCTTTCCTTGAAATGTTGTTATGTTTATTTTTCTACAGTTTGAAGATAGTTTGCACAGATGTAAACATTTTGTAATTTATTGTATTCTGTGTTCTCCACCTTTCAATCATTAATTAAACAAAATGCTTAGCTATTATAATTTTCTCTTTCTTTGTTTTTCTAGTTATCTTCCTTCAGATTTTTTTTTCTGGTACTGTCATTATGGGTTTCATTTACTTTATAATTGTCCAACAGTTCTTGTATATTATCCTGTTTCTTCACTTAGCCCACAATTCAGTTTGGGGAACTCTTATTAATGTAGCACTGACTCACTGAATCATCTTTGC